CTATCTATCCATCCATCCATCTATCGTGTGTGTGTGTGTGTGTATGTATGTATGTATGTATGTATGTATGTATGTATGTATGTATGTATCTATCTATCTATCTATCTATCTATCTATCTATCTATCTATCATCATGTATGTATGTATGTATGTATGTATGTACGTACGTACGTACGTACCTACCTACCTACCTACCTACCTACCTACCTACCTACCTACCTATTCCATGATCAGGTTGATCTAGGCAGCAAAATTAAATGGGAAAATGTTATTTATTTGTATCCTGTTGTGGCCCGCCAGCAGCCAGCGGAGCTGGTGGCAGGCTCGGATGATGAGGCGGCTGGGGAGGAACTTGGGCCAGTTCTGGAGCCTGGGGAAGGCTTTGATGGATGTTCTGCATCAGATGCAGAGACAGAGCCAGGGCTGTCCAACATTTCTCAGCCACCACAGAGACTGAGATAAATGGGGAAGAAGAACAGCTGGGGCCTGTTCCAGATGCACATATGAGCAGAGCAGATAGGATGGGTGAACAACAGCGGACAAGGAGTTGACTCAGGAAGCAAGGCACACGTAGATGGTGAATGGCCCCTCCCTGGCTGGGGAATAAATAGAAGGAAAGAGTAGGTTTCCAACACCTGAATACAGGAGGAGGCTGGCTTCCCACCTGGTTTCATTTGTGCGTTGCCCAAATTTGCAACTATTTTTATAGATGAAGTCAACAACTTTGGATGGACAGACATTTAAGAGTTGCCTAAGGCAGCAAAAGAGGAGATGCAAAAGCGAATGGAGGAAACATTTCATGCTGAGAAGTCTTGTCTTTTAAAAAAATAAAAATCCCAGAAAGTCCTTCGAGAGATGATCAAGTGGTCAACCTTTGAAGAAGGATTACTTGGTAAGATGGTCGTCTACTCGTTTTTTGCTTCCTAGTTTGAAGGTTCAGATAATGGGACAAACCACAAATAAAAGCAGCTGGCACCCAAGTCACATAAATAGGCATGAATTGCTTTAAATGAAAATTGCTTTTCGAATATTCTTAGGAAGCTCCTGTTGTGGCCAGGCAGAGGCCAGTGGAGCTGGCAGCAGATTTGGACAGTGGGGAGGTTGGGGAGGAACATGGGCCAGTCCTGGAGTCTGGGGAAGGCTCTGATGAGGGCTCTGTGTCAGAGGCAGAGAGGGAGCCAGAGCCATATGCCAGTTATCAGCTGCCTTCAGAGTCAGACATCAGTGAGGCAGATGAACAGCTGGAGCCTGTTCCCAGTGTGCCCATGCAGAGAGTTGCCAGATGAAGAGAACAGCTAAAGAACAGGGGTCGACCTAGAAGTAAGGCCACAGGTAGACGATGCATAGCCCCTCCCAGAGGAAATAAAAGAGGAGCAAAAGGGGAGTGGAGTTTGCAGGAGACAATTAGTTCTCTTAATTGATTCGTGACTCTACAAGACTCCTTGCCACGTTTTGCAGATATCGGCCTATCAGCCCTCCAAGCCAGATAACGCCTGTGACTGTAAATCCTCCCTTGAAGGACTTTGCTGGATGTGTATGAGCAGAATTCACAGTAAATTAATAAAAGTTTTTTTTTGTTGGGACAAGGAGTTTGCTTCATGTTCTTGGGAAGCCTAGGTCAGAACAGCTCCTTCCATAAACAGATGTTACATGTAGGACCATTTGTTAGAACCTCATCAACTAAAACAGTGTTTCTCAACCTTGGCAACTTGAAGATGTCCGGACTTCAACTCCCAGAATTCCCCAGCCAGCNCTTCTGTCTCAGCGCTGTTGTCGCCCTGTTGATGACGTCAGCGACGCGGTTTAGTCGAGCGCGGGTTTGTGGTGGAACCCATTGCTAGAGGCTGTTTTTGATAAAAACATTATAAAATGCTGTTACCGTATCGGGGTGGGTGGGTGCTGCAAACGTATGTAAATACAACCAATTTCTGAGCAGTTGACATGCAGTCACATGACTGCAGGGGAGGGTGGCTGTCAGAACTTCAAAATCAGGTGCAAATAACCCCGCGGAGGTCTGTTATAAGTTTGAATAGTTGCTTAGTGACTGGTCATAGCTCGAGGACTACCTATTCGCCAATTTCTTAAGCACCACAGCTCAGAGACTTCTTAATAGTCTCTCATCCAGGCATTAACCAAGCCTGGCTAAGTTTCAGGTTATCTTCCCAGAGGAGGGTCTCTGAGCCTGGGAGAAACAAGACTGTGGTCCAAGCACATCTGGAAGGGAGCCACAAAACAAAACTGCGAAATGTTCTGTTTGGACAAAGGACAAAGTTGAACTCTTTGTACAGTTATACAATTCAACGGATATGCCTTCAGCAAACCTTGGTCTTACTTTCTGGAGCTGATTCTGTCTTTTTATTAGATGCAATTATTTTAACCACCTAATAGATAAACATGCAAACCTTGGAGCTTCCTGCTTCTTGTAGTGATTAGAGCCCTTTTCTCTTCTAGGATGTGGCGGTGTTGCAATACCAAGCCCCAAGTCTGGCCGCTGCTTTCTTGGCCTCCGTTTTCCAGGGTTCAGCTGAGAATGCACTAGTGCTGGATGTGGCCTGTGGCACAGGGCTTGTGGCCCAGGAGGTAACCGAGATCAGAGTCGTGCTTCAGCCAGAGACATTAGGCTGGTCTCCACCAGGTTTTGAAAACTATAATCTTATAATTGTCCCTCTGATGTGATTTGGAAACTCATCACTGTGGGGAGCTCTGTTTTCTTAATGCCTGCCCTACAGACCACATGCAGGCAACTTTAATCCTGTTTTTGCCTTGTGCCATTGCCATTTGGAGTGCCCTATTCATTCTATTTCCCTTCCTTGAAATAAGGCTAATAAGAGGGTAGCTCTCATCAGCATTGTCTTCAAATGGCTTTTAAGGCTGGTGCTAATAAGAATTTGTGTAATAATTATTACAAGTGACATGTTATCAATGAAGAAACAGAATAAGATGGGGGGGAAAATGTAAACCTCAACAACCAAATCCAGAACTCAGATTAATATCATATAATATTTAGCTACCTCATTGACATCAACATTCAAGAGATAGCAGAGTGAGAACATGACATTTGAAGGTTCCTTCTTGTTTATTTGGGGCTCAGCAGAAGCCTTGGCCCACAATCATGGTTCATTTCTGTAACTGTGAGGGTATGTAGCAGTGGTGAGTTCCTACCGGTACGGCTGAACCGGTAGTGGTTTGGCAGCCTGGGTCACTGGAACCAGCAGCAACCCAGCCTGCCATGCCCCCGAACCGGTTCCCCAGTTGGCACTATTGGTGGCGCCATCTTGTTTTTCA